AACCGGGCATGTGTTATATCTCAACATATGTAAGAAAGCTTTCGATAGTATCGATAGTATCGAATATTTTGTACTATCACTATCGAAACAATCGAATGTATACACTATCGATAGTTTTCCAACACTAGTAGGCGGTCTTCTGCCGCGCTAAAACTGGCTACACACGACGAACATCTGCGCGCACATGTGCGCCAACATGCTCGCTGTCGTTTGCCACAGACGGTGAGCGGCTCATATGTGATTTTGTCATGGTAGCGTAAAGATGATTAGCAAATGNTTTTCTAGGACCATAAAAAGTGGATTGAAATTTGCAAACTTACACAATGTTGTGCCCAGTTTTACCAATCAATTTTAAATTTGTCGGGCTGTTAAAATTTAAAATGACAAAATTTTTTAGGAGATTGTGCTATTTTAAATTTTAAGTTTGATACATTTTGAAATTGGTTGGTAAAACCGGGCATGTGTTATATCTCAACATATGTAAGAAAGCTTTCGATAGTATCGATAGTATCGAATATTTTGTACTATCACTATCGAAACAATCGAATGTATACACTATCGATAGTTTTCCAACACTAGTAGGCGGTCTTCTGCCGCGCTAAAACTGGCTACACACGACGAACATCTGCGCGCACATGTGCGCCAACATGCTCGCTGTCGTTTGCCACAGACGGTGAGCGGCTCATATGTGATTTTGTCATGGTAGCGTAAAGATGATTAGCAAATGCGCGGATGATGCAATTGCAATGCTTTTAACTTAACTTTTTTATGTATGTGTTACTTAAATTTATTTATATTTTGCTTGTATGTATGTACTTATAGTAATTTAGCCTCATTTATCAAAAATTCACTAACGAACATGGCTTGGATGCATTTATCCGCCGATGTGCACACTTCAAGCATCAACACAAAATGAGGTTGTTGTTTTTGTTTCCAATGCGATGCTCGCAAACCACGCTAAAAACGACGAACATGCACCACAAGCCGCGCATGTGCGCGCACATGTTCGTCGTGTGTAGCCACTGTAAGGGATCATAACCCTTACTACGCAGAATTCTCCTTTCTGTGTTCCCAAAGAAGAGTGGCAGAACTTATTTCTGCGTAGGCGGCCTTCTGTCGCGCTTAGACTGCGTTTATACACGAAAACTTTTGTCGCCGCAATTTTTCACATTCCCTTTTGGTGTTGCTCGTTTCATTTACACACGGCGATTTGTGTATATGCAATTGTTGTTGTCAGCTGTGAACAGCGGTTCAATTTACACAGACGAATGAGAGCACAAAGCGTGTTGCCCGAGCACGAGCAACTCGGTGCCCCTCTCCTTTCCTCGTCACGCTCTCTCCTACAAACGTCGAGTTGCGGCAACAAAAATCGCCGTTTGTAAATGAGCACTTAGTGACCATTACCCTTACTGCCATACCTAAACAAAAGCGTCAGCGTTGTCTGGCTGTCAAAAGGTTCCCATGCCCATACAATTTGTATGAAGCATACCGAAACAACGCGGCTTCAACGCTGAGCGGTTGGAAAATCCGATTTTGACAGGGCGTTAGGTATTGAAGTTGGCTGCAGAAAATGGCGAAACTGTCATTTTCGTGTTACACACAAACAAACCCATGCCTATTGTTGGTATTGTTTCTGCATTTGACGTAGCGTTGACGCTTTTGTTTAGACATTGCACTTCGGCGCTAACGCTAGGCGTCAGAAACCGCTCCGCCCAACGCTTTTGTTTAGGTATGGCAGTTACTACGCAGAATTCTCCTTTCTGTGTTGTTGTCAGTTAGTTTCGTGAGTTTGTGTTGCAAATTCAGTCAAAGTAAACCATAGTGAACATCTAAATACCAATATGCGTTCATTTGGTGTATTTATTAATGTGATTTCAGTATTAACAAAGTTGACTTGAACGAAACAGTTTTTTGCCAATAACTTTTGAACGGTTTAACAAAATCAATTTCCGCCTTCGTATTAACACTGGCAGTAATATGCATCGTTGGATACCCCTTTCGACTATTTTAGGTAAATTTTCGGTGGGCACGCTAAAGTGCACCACTGCCGTATTTTGGAAGTACCTGAAAAACGGGAAGAAAAAAAGCCCTTTAGTTGAAAAAGTACTAATTTTTATGCCTTCTCAACAGCGTCTACGCGGAAAGCTGCTCTGCGCAAAAATACTGTGGCCCCTTATCTAGTTTGGCCTAGGCAAAACTAGTTTGACCTAAGATCGGGTTTGGCCGGTAACATATGTACATATATATGGCTTGGTAGTCTCATAAATTTGTAGATAATTAAAATAATAAAATTACGCGTGATTCTATTCACACGAATATGATAATATGCTTAAAATTTTTGAGGTGATGAATACCCAGATATAACAGTATGGCTTATATAATTCCTCATATGTGCCGCATCACTAAGAAAATAATCCCTTATGAATTTGAAATGTTTCCCATATATTGTACAGGCCAAATAGAGGGATTCATTTACGTGTGATCTTTTGTCCCCCTCTTTAATATGGGCGTCTCGTGCGCATATACCAGGTTTGATAGCTGTTGGCCATACCAATAATGCCTCATACTCAGTTTTGCTAGATCAATTTGTGTTCTCGAAAAAAAAATTCACGATTCAAAAATCTGGGTATAGCGGCCAAATTCTTTCAAAATTTTGAAAATTCTTCGTTTTTTCGCCTATATTTGCTTTGTATGGTATTTTCAACAAAATAAAGGCTAAAAACGATAAATGTTCAAAATTTGGAGAACAAATTTTTTGATCGAAAAATTTTTTTTTTCGGAGAACACGAATTGATCTGGTAAATCTGAGTATGAGGCATTATTGGTATAGCCAACAGCTATCAAACCTGATATATTCGCACTATAGGTTTTTTTTGTTTTCCTCAGTGTTATATAGGGGATACTTTGAGCAATCATATAAGGAATTATACATTACCCAAGCTCATGTATATCCAAATTCATGTCATACAGCAAGCATTGACTTTTTAATGTTTTATTTATTTGTTTTTGAAATTAACGATCTATTTATAATTAATACGTTGTGTTCATTTTAGTAAATCCACTTTGATTTTTAATTGTACAAAATTATTATATACATACAGTATCGACCCAGTTTTAAAACTTCGTAGAAACCTACAAAAAATACAAGAAATTTTCACCTAAAATTCAAACTTTTTTCTCAGAAGTGTTAGAATTTTTTTGAGTACTCAGTTTTATAGCCCCTTCAATTTTAGTCTAATTATATGCAAGTTTAAAGTGGCTAAAAATTACCGCTGATTTTTTAGAATCGATATAAAAACAAATTGTGTTTATTCGTCTTCTATATAACGAAAAATGCGACTATATATCGATGGCTAAGTGGAAGAACGACCTATCTCGGCAGCCAGTTCGAAAACGCCTGATATCAGAAAACTTCAACAACGCCCTATTTCAAAATTTGGCTGAAAAATGCCTTATTTTAAAATTTGATTGAAAAATGCCCTATCTCAGCACATTTTCAATGTATTTTCATTGGATATACGACTTTTTTGAACCGAATAATAATAATAATAACATACTATACACATATCTAGTTTCAATATAAAAAAAATGTATGTACAATTATTATTATTGTGTATACATATCTAAGTCAATATATGTGATATGAATGTACATACATCTACATATCGGCGTTTGAAGTACAAAACCGTGTATCAATAAAATGCAAAACCGCGTATCAAGGTAATGCAAACCCGCGTATGCGAGGTTGCATAAATTATATTCTAGTGAGTAAAAACACTCATATCTCAAAATGGTTATCTTGTTTTAAAAAGCAATCGTATTTTTGGCTAGTATATTCAGGAAGAATGGATAAGGATTGAGCCAAGAACTTGTGTGAGTAAATCCAATTTTTAGCAGCAAATGTCACTTACGCGGTTTTGCATAATGACGACACGCGGTTTTGTACTTTAAACGACGATATGCATATTAACAGGAACGCAGCAATCTAATACACGGGTGGAGCAGGAACGCAGCACAGCAGAAGCATACAAAAAATCTGCAAATAAATGGTTTTTTAGGTTTTTAACAAACAAAAACCTGGTTTCAACTTACTTCAACGTGTTTAAAACACAACGCACACACTAATGCAAAGGCGCAACAGGAACGCAACACTGTAAAACATGGGCGGAGCAATACACAGGCGGAGCTCGAACNTTTTAGGTTTTTAACAAACAAAAACCTGGTTTCAACTTACTTCAACGTGTTTAAAACACAACGCACACACTAATGCAAAGGCGCAACAGGAACGCAACACTGTAAAACATGGGCGGAGCAATACACAGGCGGAGCTCGAACGCAGCACAGCAAAATCGTCCACAAAATCTGCGAATAAATGGTTCATTAGGTTTTGAAATAACAAAGAGCTGGTTCCAACTTGCTTAAAAATATCTGCAGGATGATGCACACAATAGGAGTGTTCGCTATGCAACTGCCAGTAAGAATTAGCCAGTATCAAAATTCAGAGAATAAGGTACCTTACTCCCCCAAAGAGAGAAACTTACTAAGTTTTGCGCGAACAGGAATTAGCAAACATTTGCAAGCTTCACTGCCAGCTGGCGTCCACGGTTGCATTTCGAGCATAATAAATTTTTTAATTATTTCAGGTGGAAACCAAAACAGGACCTATACGTTTATTTCTTCTTATTCTGACTTTCTTCAACATACGCTTCAATTTCTTTGTGGAAGTCACTGTCGGATTTCCTATATCGACAGTGGTGTCGAGTGCGTTCCGATTACGAATACAGATTTTTCAGCCGAGCACCTTTCAAATGTTTGGAATTAGTAATGTTAATTGAATAAACGAATATTTACATACTTCTTTCATTAGTAGATCGCAACAAGATTGTTCATTTTTAAATTTAACGAACTTGTTGATTCAAATTAATGTTGACAAAAATGCAACCGTGTGTCACAATCCTGCTTGCAAATTCTTACTGGCAAAAATTTTCCCATCACGAATTTGCAACTTCCCCTCCAAATGAAATGTCAAAATTGTGCTCTCTCCTTGGAAGTTTTATTGGGTTGGCTAAACGAACACGATTTCGTAACAATTGGAACCAACTTGTACAAATTTTTTGCATAGCAAACACTCCTAATCAAATTCGGCCGCAGCTGCAGTTCACCAGAGAATGCTGCAAATGGAATGGTTCATCTTAGCTCTTAACCACAATACCAGCACAGGTCGGCCAGGAAAACACTAAGGAAATGACCTAATAAATGCAAAATTATAATTTATTTGTAAAATAATTCGGCTTTATTACAATACTTACCAAATTTTACGCAATTAGAAATCAAATGTCAGCGAATAAGAACAAAACGAACAACGAAAATTGAATCAAATTAGCTTGTTTAGAATTTTTTTCTAATATTTTGGGAAATGTTCAGTGAAATTAGCAATGAAACAACACTGTTTCTCCTAAGGTAGTTCAAGATGGCGGATTAGAGCGAGAAGTTGCCAACGTATAACACCTTTCATTATTGCATCATGGTACATAACGTGCATTGCGTCGCCGTCACCGTCGCCGGCAGTTGCCAAAAAAGTTGAATCGATTTATTTGTATGAAGTAAGTTACATGTACAAAGCTTATGGAGTCGGTGACGCAAAAATTTAACTCAACTTTCAACTTTGCTTATGCATTTGCGTCAAGTGACAACTATTCTGTGTTTTGTTTACATGTTTGAACGTAAATTTTTCCATTTTGTGAAAATGTTTAGATTTATGGAGAACCGAAATTTACAAAATGACGGAGGAATACCTAATAGAAGAAGTGAAAAAGTAAAACGCTGACACGATCTGTCTCAACAGAGTGCCATGTAAATGAAGAGTTTTTCTGTAGTTGTAGCCCTTAGCGCAGAAATCTGCGGAATTTAGATTTTTCCGTGTTTTTGGTAATTATCTAGGTGGGCTTTCAACACCCAAAGTTAATCAAAATTTAGAAAATAGGGCACCATTAGACGCGTCTGGACCCTAGTAACAAGAATCCGAAAGCGGAAATTTTTTTCCCGATCAATAGTTATTAACAAAAAACGTTTTCACAATAGCACCTTTTTTATTCACTTACTAAACTCACACAAACGAACAAATTGCCCATATTTCACCATACATAAAACAATAATACTTCATTTTAGCCATATATGTCATAATATCGCAAAATATATCACTTATAACTTATATATTTTATTTATTGTAATTAAACAATTTTGGTATTGCCTCCCTCTAGCACTCCGAATGAATACAATTACTCAACGTCTACACCTACCAATTATTTGAAAAGAAAAAAAGCAAAAAATGTGTTTAATTTATAGAAATTGATACTTCGTTAGATAATGAAAATTTGTAATAAAAAATCACGCAATTTTTTACTACAAATTTTCGCCTGCGCCGCTTTATACAATACAAATCGATACTTCGATTTATAATGAATCGCGCGATTTTTTATTACAAATTTTCACCTGCGGCGCTTTTTTCAATAAAAATCGATACTTCGACATGTAATGAAAATTTGTAATAAAAAATCGCGCGATATATAATATAAAAGCAGATATAGACTGGCGCTTACACATGNTTGTGGCGTGCGCCTTGATGTTGTCACACAAAGCGGAGGGACCTACAGTTTTACGCCGACTCCGAACGGCGATTGTATTTTTATGAGAAGCTGTTTTTCATGGCAGAAATACACTCGGAGGTTTGCCATTGCCTGCCGAGGGACGACCGCTGTTAAGAAAAAACCTTTTTTCTATATTTTTTGCGATGTTGCTTTGACCAGGGTTTGAACCCAGGCGTTGCGGAGTGGAAGCTCGCACTGCTTACCACTACACCACAGCGGCCGACAGTGAAGACAAGAATGATAGAATACAAGATTGCGCCGATCAGAGAGGATTTTTGAGAATAACTTTTGTGTGACGTCACACTGGTGCAATTGCGAGAGAGAAATGCCAAAACGTGAGCAAGAATGGAAGAAGAAAAATGTTGCAAGGAAAACGTAAACAAGTTGCACCAGTGTGACGTCATGCAAACAACGATTCTGTCAAATTCGTTAAGAGAGGAATAGCGGTCCGAGATCGGCGCAACCTTTGTATTCTCTCAATCGTGGACAGTAGATACTTCGTTATGAAATGAGAATTTTAATTATTGCACATAACAGTCTGAACTCCGTGTAAACATATTCGATATAAATTCCATTCAGGTTGAGTGGCAATACCGCACATCAGCAGTTGTATTTTGCGTTGAGCACACCAAAATTTGTTTACATTATCTTATATATATATATATGTAAATGTGAATGTCTGTTTGTTTATTACCTTATAACTTCTGAACCGCGGCACGGAATCGCACGAAACTTTGCACACTTATTTGTTTTTACCCGGGAAGGTTATAGGCATAGAGAAAAATGGGCAGTACTGGAAAAGGGGTCGTGACACCTCCCATAGGCGTAAATTATTTAATCAGCTCTAACTTCGGAACCGTAAGTCACATGTACTTGAATTTTGGTATGCAAACATATCTATGGTAGATGCTTATATTAAGGTATATATAAATGAGTTTGTAAAAGGGGCGTGGCACATAACATAGGCGTGGAATTTTCAGTCAGCCATAACTTCGGAACCATAAGTTACATGAACTTGAAATATGCTATGCAGACATATCTATGGTAGGTGCTTGTAGTAAGATGTATATATAAATTAGTCTGTAAAAGGGGGCGTGGCACATCCCAAAGGCGTGGAATTTTTTATCAGCTATAACTTCGGGACCATAAGTCACATGAGCTTAAAATTTGGTATGCAGATATATCTATTATAGGTGCTTATAGTAAGGTATATATAAATGAGACTGTGAAAGGGGGCGTGGCAAATCCCAATGGCGTGGAATATTTTACCAGCGATAACTTCGGAACCATAAGTCAAATAAACATGGCATTTGGTATGCAGACATATCTATAGTAGGTGCTTATAGATATAAATATATATATAAATGGCCCCTATTATGAGATGCATTCGATCTTCGACCGTGGTCGAAAGTGCTGATCGAACGAATTTTCATTTGGTATTATGGCGCTCATTCAATGAAGAATAGCGCTATTGTGAATTTCGCTCGTTTAGGTTGTTTACAATAGTATATTTTTCACTGCTGAGAAGGTTTGTTTACAAATCGAGCAAACTAAATAGTGTGCTTATAAATATGTACATATGTAAATTTGTGCAAAATTTTGTTCTCAGAGATCGTGCCAACAGCGTATTGGGATTTTCTTTCATAAGTAAAACCAGACTTTCGAGCTTGTGTTTAGTATTCACGACGTTAGAACTCCATGAAATTAATGAAAATTGTTTAAAATTAGTGTCTAGCCGCCAAAAAGTAAGAAAACAAAAGCAAAATCGTACATTTTTAACAATTTTCTAACACTTTGATACACCAACGAAAGCAAAATTCTGTTCGACAGAAATTCGATACTCAACGAAAATTTCGACACGCTTGCATGGCTCATAATACGAATTTCACTTTCGAACTTCGATCTTCGATAGCCAGCGAAGATCGAAAATCGATTGCAACTCATAATAAGGGCCAACGAGTTTTAAAAGGGGCGTAGCACTTAACATAGGCGTAGAATTTTTATCAGCCATAGCTTCGGAACCACAAGTCACATGACCCTTTTAATTCCTTCTCACGTGGGGTGAAACCCACGGGTTAGAGCTAGTAATGAATAGAATATATAAGTTTTTAGTGATATATTTAGCGATATCAGTCAACGACTAGCTATCAACCGGTGCGGACATGTAAGCAAGTGCCATTGCCAGTGCGAATAAATAATACAAATACCAATCCTTCACAGTGTTCACTCTTCCTTTTTGTTACACTTTCGTAGTAATAAATAACAAACAAGTGCATCGTACTATACAAAAAACCGCTACATTCACATATATACACACATAAAATGCGACCATCACCTGAACCACCAACAGTAACCAACTAACCAAACCAACCAATTAGCAAAACTTTCCCCGTTTAAAATAAAAAAGGGTATTGATGCGATATCAACCTAAATAGATAGCATCAAACAACTAAATGACAGTCCGTAAACCTAGCTGACCCAAGTCGCCAAAAATCAATAAAAATTATAAAGGAATTAGGTGTCTTTTAGGGGTTAATTAGGGCCTCCAAAATTAATTTAGCTGTTCCATTGGTTTCCGATAAATTCACAAAAATGTGTTTTTCAGCTACGTAAGCGCTGTTAACCTAGCTGAACAATGTTTAAATTTTTGTTTTAAATTTTCGAAATACATATATGCAGGAATTAGGTGTCTTTTAGGTGTTCTTCAACGCCACTAAAACGAATTTAGTAGCTCCATTGGTTTCCGAGAAATTCGCAAAAATGTGTTTTCAGCTACCTTAGCGCTGTTAACCTAGCTGAACAATGTTTAAATTTTTGTTTTAAATTTTCAAAATACATATATGCATGAATTAAGTGTCTTTTAGGTGTTCTTCAAAGCCACTAAAACTAATTTAGTAGCTCCATTGGTTTCCGAGAAATTCGCAAAAATTTGTTTTTCAGCTAGCTAAGCGCTGTTAACCTATCTGAACAATGTTTAAGTTTAGGTTTCTTCAACGCCACTAAAACTAATTTAGTAGCTCCATTGGTTTCCGAGAAATTCGCAAAAATTTGTTTTTCAGCTAGCTAAGCGCTGTTAACCTATCTGAACAATGTTTAAGTTTAGGTTTCTTCAACGCCACTAAAACTAATTTAGTAGCTCCATTGGTTTCCGAGAAATTCGCAAAAATTTGTTTTTCAGCTAGCTAAGCGCTGTTAACCTATCTGAACAATGTTTAAGTTTAGGTTTCTTCAACGCCACTAAAACTAATTTAGTAGCTCCATTGGTTTCCGAGAAATTCGCAAAAATTTGTTTTTCAGCTAGCTAAGCGCTGTTAACCTATCTGAACAATGTTTAAGTTTAGGTTTCTTCAACGCCACTAAAACTAATTTAGTAGCTCCATTGGTTTCCGAGAAATTCGCAAAAATGTGTATTTTCAGCTACCTTAGCGCTGTTAACCTAGCTGAACAATGTTTAAATTTTTGTTTTAAGTTTTCGAAATACATATATGCATGAATTAGGTGTCTTTTAGGTGTTCTTCAACGCCACTAAAACTAATTTAGTAGCTCCATTTGTTTCCGAGAAATTCGCAAAAATTTGGTTTTCAGCTAGCTAAGCGCTGTTAACCTATCTGAACAATGTTTAAATTTTTGTTTTGAATTTTCGAAATACATATATGCATGAATTAGGTGTCTTTTAGGTGTTCTTCAACGCCACTTAAACTAATTTAGTAGCTCCATTGGTTTCCGAGAAATTCGAAAAAATTAGTTTTTCAGCTAGCTAAGCGCTGTTAACCTATCTGAACAATGTTTAAATTTTTGTTTTATACTTTCGAAATACATATATGCAGGAATTGGGTGTCTTTTAGGTGTTCTTCAACGCCACTAAAACTAATTTAGTAGC